TGACTTCCAGTAACTGCAACAGGAGAGTCGGCTCAGATCCGCGCGTCGCCCCGTGTTACAAGCGGCTGAAGTAAAGCAATTAAAAAGAAAGGGCCAGAACAATGTGCCCAGACGGTAAAATAAGATCAGAACAATTGTGTCCTTGAGATGCGAGCAAAAACAAGAGACGGTGCGGTACAGAAGCGTGAGCTACAGGAGCTGTGAGCCAAGAGAGCCAGAAGCCTTGCAAAAAGCGTCTTCTTTTCTTTTTTCTTCTTTAAATAAACTATCCGTGACAAATGGATGTTTTCCTTTATCTGAACTGCAGGCAAGGTTGAGATGAATAACGTCTGATTGCCCTAATACTGCTGATGCTAATCTTTTCCTGCTTATTGGAAACAGCGAGTTAAGACGGTTGACGTTGGGAAATAAAACGGGGATCAGAAAATAGAAGAGAGTAGTGACTCCACGTGAGGAGAAATACCTAAAGTCCTTCCCATCTTCTTAGGTTTAAACACGACAGAACCCGCTGATCTGAAGAGCCCAGAAGTAATAACCACAGGAGCTTAATGGTGCGGTAAAGGAGACGTTGGGTAAATGTCAGCTGTGAACACTTGTGCCGGATTATTTGAGCAAAGTGCTCCATTCAATTATCAGACACTTCAAAATACACAAAAGGAAAAAAGCCCTTAATTAAAAGAGTGAAATCAAAGTTTTAAAAACAATTGCTCCTGGTGCCACTTCAGTCACAACTAATGAAGTCCTTTATTGCCTTAACAATACAAAGTGTTCAGCTCAACTGGTTTTAGGAGGGCTGTTATCTCCTTAAATCAGGGAGACGACAGCTGTTTATCACTTTCACTCACTCATCTGTGGCGAGGCAACAGGTCGGTGAATGGGGTCATTTGCAGGCTGGCCGATATGCCATCTGCACACAGAATACCAGAGCGCAGAACAGCAATAACAAGCAGAGATTAACGGAGATCAGCCCTTTGTTCCTCGTGTCAGACGTTATAAGAAGCTGGAACGGGACACAAACACTCTGAGGAAGGACACGCGTCAGTCCGGACCAGAAGGAGCGAGACAGCAGCGAGGTTATTAATTTTTTCTGTGTAATATTCAGGTCTCTACAACTTCTCCAGGTCTTGACCCACCATTTAAAAGAATGTTGTTTCCATATTTATATCAGATACACTTTTTACCTCCTTTATTCTCATGCTTTCCTCGTCAATAATTACGGCTGGGCGATACGGCCAAAAATCGTCCATCACGATACGTGTCATTTCATATCTCGATGACAACATATATCACGATGAAGCATGTTCTTCTGATAATTCAATTAATAAATAAATAGTCCGTATGAAATGACAACATGGTGAAGCCTGTTTTTGTATACTTTGTGAGAATTAAATACTTGACAATTGAAAAGTACGGAGTATTTTATCATGTAATTAGGAACTGTTTGGAGTGATATTATAGAAAATAAATAAATATGTTTTTCCAGCTATACACATGTTTACATACATGCACACAAATAGAGAGTAATTGGATGAAGTCTTATTTAACTTTTGTTCAGAGAAATCTGAGTCAGTATGCGCTTGTTATTATGAATTTAGACTCGTGTAATTGTGCATCACCATATCGGATTTCATCACAATACAATTCAATGAAAGACATTAAATGACCGTATTGAATTATCGCTCAGCCCTCCATATAATATCAACTTGCAGATAAACTTTGCCCTTTTTCAAAATACACCAATATTCCAAAAAAGTGTACAAACAAAAAGCAAACTCTTTTCCACCTTGATAATTATCATTACGAGTTTGAAGGAAACCATATTGCATAACAAACGTGTCTCTTTCTCTCCAAACACCTTCGTGATGCTTTGGAGGCAGTAAAAAAAATCAGTCACATGTCCGCCAATGAAATCACTTCAGTTCTCCCCAGAGGAGCCGTCTTGGACCCGGGGCGAGAATGTTCTTTTTACAAACCGGCCTTCTCCCCTTGAAACGCGGCGCCGCTTTGAAAAACGAACGAAGACAAATGCGCGGCAGCCCACAAAATCCCTGGAGTTATTCCTCGTGTCTTACAGAGCATCAAACCGTCAATAAAACACAAGGAGATACATTCCAGCTATAGTGGAACAGGACATTTCTGACTTCCCTAACTCCATGTGCTCTCCCCTCTCAAAACTTTCTCTCTTCCCAGTTCCACCGCAGAGACTTCACATATTGCAGCCATATGAGTAAGCCATGGCTGTCTCCACGGCACACACACACACACACACAGACACACACAGACACGCATACAGGAAAAAGCGCTGTGCTCTCTCCCACTCTGTCTCACACACACACACGGGAAAGAGTTTTACAAGCAGAGGTTCTCTTTAGGAAGTCGTCAACTGTTTTGACGTTTAATAGCAGCTACAAACAAGGCCGTGAGACAATAATATCCAGTGTCTGGAAAGAAGAACTTTTTTCAAAAGGCTAGAGAAGGAGATTGATACATTGCTTGATCACCGGTTCAAAAGAAGCTTGTTAAATGTTTGCAAAAGTTTAACAAAGCAATATACATTACACGCGTGATATCTGCGGGTGTAAGAACATGCAGCGACTCAAAGTTAAGAGAGACGGATACCAGCGAGGCTGGTCGTATCTTAGGGGGGAAAAAAACAACACACAAGTTGGACACGAGAAGGACAACGAAGCAAAGGACATGTTTACAACTGAGTTTAAAGTCGATGTCAGTTAAAAGCACTTACTTACAAAGTGCCTTGAGATGCCAGTGTGAGTATCAAACTCCTCGATTCAAATCATACGTGTCAGTTTGGCAAAAAAAATTATTTTAAAAGTAGAAAAACTTGATTACATCTGTAGGAATTTGTGGGACTATATTTTAAGAAAGGCAGCATAAAGCGAGCACGTGTTACAACACGGTTTGAAAAAGTTACACACGGAACTGTACGTGACACAAATGTACCGAGCTTTAACCGAGACGGGAATATTCAGAGCTTCTACTAGGAAAACAAGTTCTTTACAAAGTTTTTGTTACTTTGTAAAGTCTTGTTATTTTTGAAAACAAGTAATAAAAACAACCATTTGTCGAAATCCTAGATCTCACAGGCGATGGCGTGGCTTACACTGCTCACTGTCCTAAACAAATACTCGTCTAAAAGCCTTCAAATCCGATTTGTGTTCGTATGCTGCTGGTAAAAAGTGCAAAACAAACATAAAAGTTTCACAAATCTTTTTCGCTGATTTCTAGTTTTCCTCAAGTGCTCCCCACAGCTTTAGAGGTGTGTGTGTGTGTGTGTGTGTGTGTGTGTGTGTGTGTGTATGTATAACCGTCCACTACCGCTGTGGCCGAGAGCACAAAACTTTCAAAAGTTTCACAGAATCTATTATAACTCTTTTAAGGGAATATCTGAAGCCAGAACTGAGTGTTTTTAAGATTATCAATTCAAAACAGCATCGTAAACGTGCTTCAAAAAGTCAGTGTTGCATTTTATGAAGCCGTGAAGATGAAGATGCAGACAGACATGCTTCATGTATTTTAAAAAAGGACCATAGGAACCTCTTGATAAAACCCAAACTGTGTGGGTCCGAGTAAAGTTACACGGGCTGAGGTTATCTGTTGAATTAAAGTCGGGCCCCCAACAGAAGCAGGGCTTCAGGGGCCAGAGCTGCCGGGCTGTGGAGGGCTGTGTAGAAAGCTTCCTCGCAGTGAGTGCCTCATTGTGCTGCTTCACATGCTCTGCTCTCCCCACACAGTTGTCATGCCTACCCCGGCTCCCTTATCTCAAAGGAACATCACGGTTTCTTACGACAGGAGGAGGAGGGGGGGCAGTACACTTTAAAAAAAGTTGAGTGGAAATGCAACTCATGAAAAGTTCAACAACAACAACAAACAAAACAAAATATAAGCGCGATGTTTGAGGTGATAAGTACTCTGTTGATAAGAGAGGATGTGTTGAGGATCTTTTTTTTTTACGACATTTCACATCCACCATGCGCCCTCGAGCTTACTAACAATGAAAGAGGTGCAGAAACAGCGCCATATCGGCTGTAAAAACCACTTGACAAAACGCGATCTCTTTCATCTCGAGTGTCACTGCCCTTTCCCACGTTCAACACTTCGCAACGCGTCTTATAACTTTACGTTCATCTTTCTGCACAAATCGTATTTTCTCCTGCGACGTGCGTCATTCGGAACGGACCCACAAAGTCTGAACTTGAGTTATCATCAAGCTTTGCAGGCAGAATAGTAATGGGGAAGAACCAAAAAAGTTATCAATGAAAACAAAAACAAAAAAGTAACACAGAGAGCTAGTATGCGGTGACAAAATCACGCAAGAGTCCGACCGGTTTCTATCTAAGCAAGTCAAAGTCAGGATGATCGTGAATTAATATCCTAAAAAAAAACAAAAAACAAGAAACAAAACTTACCAAAAGAAACACACAAACCTACTAAAGTCACTCCACGTCCCCTTGTCGCGGACTTCAAACTCAGTCTTTAAACCAAAAAGCAGTAGCCGGTCCCAAAGTAGCCCCCCACTTTGTATTAGTGTGGCGTTTGGGTGTCCTAACCTAAATGTAAGTTGCCATGTGAATTCAAAGCGGTGCTTCTCTCTTTTCCTCTCTCTCATTCAGCGGATCCCTTCTTTCCTTACCGACGCTGCTCAGGCCGTTAGTTACATAAGACGCAAACCGACTGCTGCCCGTCGTAAAAAAAAAAAAAAAAAAAAAAAAAAAAAAAACCCCACTCACGGCTAACAGCGATATTTTGTCTCCTTTAAAACGCAGCGGTTGAGAGCCCCCGGTTCCCATTTTAAGACCAACACAATTCCATCTTCCCCACTTGTCCGAGAGCATGCATTTCGCCATCTACAACTCCAACCGTGCATCGCCGATGTATTTTTTTTTTTGGTTGTTTACAATGCCACTGCACCAACTAGTAGAGAGGGCTGTATGCATGGTGTGCATTTTGTGTTTGGTCGTGTTTCTCTTGGTGCTGCTTACCTGTTGATCAAAAATAAGCATTAGCCTCTTTTTCTCTCAGTGTGTGTCTCTTTCAGCAGCCTGTTAAGATGGTGGCTGGCTGTGCTGGCTGCTTGGCTGGCTGGTTCGTCTCTTTGTGGGTTTTTTTTTGTTTGTTGATGATGTCGGACGGGGTGACAGTGTCTTGGCTGTCTCTCTCTCTCTCTTTTTCTTTGGTCTGAGAGAGAGAGAGAGATAGTTAAGGCTTCGCGGCAAATAGCACGTTAAACTAGGCTGATACCGACTGATTAGTGAGATTGTCTCTGGTATAATATTCCGATGTGATAGTTTGTTATTTTAGCCGCTCAGAGCCCGGATTTACTGGCCACAGCAAACCAAAGCGGAGCAGCTCGTTATCTGTTTTTTTTGTTGTTTTTTTTGTTCAGACTAGTGTTATCGCTTTGCTGTGACAGGACCTCTGCCTGTCTCTCTGTACGCTGTGGGCATTACGTCAGAGGAGGAAGACACAGCAGCTCTATTAATATCAAGAAGCCACCCGAAGACTGACTCTTAAAGTGACACGCACTGTAAGCGCACTTATTTACGCAGTTGATACTAAACCAAATCAATTACGCCACTAGAATAGAGGACACGGACTCTTAAAGCGATACTGACTCACTATCTCACTGATTCACGCAGTTCTGAAACAAATCGATCAGGACTACTCAAACAAAGTCAAGAAGACGAACTTTAAGTGGAACACGCTGTAATGTACATTTTTACGCGGTTGATACTAAACCAAATCAACTACTATAATAATTTAAGAACACCGATCGTCTTAAAGTGACACACACTGTTGTTTAACTTATTTATACACATAATAGTAAACCAAAAAAAATGACAGAAAATGTTATTAATATAATTAACATAGAAAGTACTTGTTGAGTATTGAGAGTTGACTACACTGACATTGAAGTTTTAATTGTTTACTCTCAGCAATTCTCACCAACATAAATTATTTCTCCTTTACGCTTAAATAATGTTCATGAAAAGGCAGAATATATTAAATGTATTCCCTATGTTCATGCTTTGAAACCTACATTGTTTGCATTGGTTTGTATTCTTCTTCTCCTCTCTCATTGGTGCACAACTGCCTCATGTTGTATTACCACCAACAACTGTTAAACTGCATTAGCATGCTCTGAAGTCAAATTAAATGTATATCCCTGCGCCCTAAGCTTGTAGCGTTCATGTGTGCACATGCAAACATTAGGCTCTGTTACAGCATCAGATACAAACAATATTGGGACCCACTCGTCAAAACATTGCTCTACTGGAAAAACTCCACAGAGTAGCTTTAAGTGTTAAATAAAACAGACTGACTATCTATTACCACTGGTGGAAGTAGTACTAACATCTAACCAACAGCAATAATACAATGTTAAAATGTGAATATATTAATATAACAAATAAAAGCCCTGCTTTCAAAAGTATATAAGTATTAGCAGTAAAATGTAATTGAATATCACAACCAAAGGAAGCAGTCTGAAGAATAGGCCCTTCAGATAGTTGAATGATATGTAATTACAATTCTGATTCATACTAAACATATCCTTGTGGCACAACAAGCTTAAGGTGAATGGGAAAACTTTGAACCATATGCAAATATCTTATTATAGCATTGTATAACACCTGTAGCTTAATTGTAAAACGTGGGCGATCTGATTATAGTGTGAAATGTGTTAATCTTAAACAAATTTGATGTGGTTTCTCCTCTACGCTGCAAGATCAGATGTGCATACATATTAATAACTCTTATCTGGTATCACCACCTCTCCCTGAGGGTGAATGACACCTGGGCCAGCACGATCAAAATCTCCATCAGATAAGTGAAACGATAATCTGCCTTGTCTTGGGCAGCTAGTGCGTCTACTGTGATGCTCTGCAGATACAGTAGAGGTAATGTTACAACTCATTTTTATGTCATTCATGATTTGACGTTATCCTTGTTACGTTCTAAACCTCATTGTAGACCAATCGATGAGGCAGGAGTCTAAGTTCAGAATGCAATGCTGTTTTATTGTCATTCTTTTGACGATAAGAACTTTTTTATATGTATTTGTTTAAGCTCTGCAAAGAGAGAACAACACATTCTTAACATTAAATAATATATTTCAACAGAAATTGTGTGCAGTAGTCAAAGTAAATGAAATATCAAATTAAGTTAGAAGACAAACACAACGTAGTAGGGGTTTAAAGATAGGACAAAGGGAGGCAGGCAGCCTGTAGCCTCTTGTTAAGATGCAGTGGCTGCACCTGAGGAGGGTGTTTCTGAGCTGGGCTGCTGTTGAAGAGTCAAAGAATGACGCCCTATGTCTTTTCCTAACCACTTTTCCTTGGACCTCAGTGGAAAACGTCATGAAACGCTGAGGAAAGTTGTGAAGAAGAATTCAACCGTGGCGCTCAGAGAATACGACTGCACTATTACCAACACATAGAACATGAGTACAGTGAGAGACTTGATGCTGCGCAGTAAAGGATCCCTGTCCGCACTAGAATCGCACCACCTAAAAAGGATGTTTTTCATTTATCCATATTAAACAGCAACAGCGTTGCTTCAAATGTTGCTGAATGTTTTTGTTGGCTATATCATATTCAGTCGGGCCTTTAGACTTTTCTTATGGTGGCCATAATGCAAAAATAATCAAAGACTAGTTTACAAGAATGGAGTGGGAGTGGGAGTGGGGGGGAGCATAAATAATGAATATGCCCTTGTTAGCTTGGTATGAAAACCAGGCTGTGGGCTAAGCCTCTCACCCCTTCCCTTCACAGTCCTTCTCCCATTGCCCCACGGGGAGGAAGGGACTCTGAACTTTTCAGTTTCTTTCTCAAAACACTGCCCTTCAAAAGCCAAAGGTAAGAATTTTTTTGCTAACAAAGGCAATAACGCAGCCTCCAGGCATACACTCTGCTGGATCCACCACCTCCTGAGTGGTGCAGGCTTTGGACTGGCCACAGAGAAAAAGTCACACTGAAGAAATAATACACCTGCCACAAGTCTTCCACATACAAGTGCCCTGGATTTATTTTGGAAGTGTCCCATTTTCTTGCCTTCCTCCGTTATTTTCTTCAACAGTTTCTTCAAGACGTAGCTTGTTTACCCTTGTCCTATCGTATCCTCTTCTTATTGGAAACTAATATTGTCCTGTTGGTAAAGAAAATCTTCCTGCACTCAACAACAGGGGGTGTAGGTAATACTATAGTGCAGCAATCCTGCTTGTGATGACACATCTACCCGTGATGACACCCACAAAACTTTCTTTTTGTTTCACGTTGTCACTGTCATCACTGTGCTGTTTGAAGAATATTGTCACAGCCCTCTTTTTTTTCCACGCCTCCTCAATGTGGTGTCTGAAATAAATGGCATTTCCCGCTGTTTTCAAGGTATATTTGTCACATCCCTCCCAGCTCTCTCTCCTGGATCTGCTGTCTCTGTGTATGGCTATCATCTCTTCATATAGGGGGGCTGTTAAGGGAGCAGACTAGAAAGCAGCAGGCTTACAATATCACTCTTCTGTGTGGTTACACAGTGCAGATTTTTCAAATAGTCAAAATGGCAGCAAGGAATTGTGTCCCTCCTCCGCCTGCTCCGTCTTTATTACGTCTTAATTAGGGGCTCACTGATCTGGTCCACTTCATCCAATACTTTCTTTGAGGATCGGGTAACGGCCAGATGTGACGGATGTGTGTTTGTGTTTCCCTTTGCATATGTTTTAAAAATCACAAACTCCCCATAATAAGATTAATAAAACCAACACATTATTTTGAAATTTAAAATTGAGTTGGAAAAGTGAGAGAATTCCTCATTGCTGTATTAAAATAATTTGTCATAAATGGTCTTAAAATACGGCCTTAAGGCTCAAATGTCAGGTGAAATGATATTAAGCATTCACAGCAGCAATAAATAAAAAAACGCATTTATTCTTTTAATAACAAGGTCAAGTGAAAAGAAAATCCTTGGACTCTGCTGTCTGAAAAACAAATAGTAAGATTCCTCCACAGCCTTGGATCAATGCAGTTTTCATCTTTATTGCCAAGCTTTTGATGTAGCTGACCTAAATCAGGGACTATGAAGAGGACGATGAATGAGCGTGTATGTACACAACAGCAAGCCATAGCCCAGTAATCAGCAAGACGCACAATCCCTGTGACAAGAGCTTTTGAGTCAGCATATAGAGAGAATTGAATTTCGATATTGCGTAAGCAATAAATACTTTTTGTTTCTCGAGTTTGTACACAAACCTCCAAGCTGAGTAAAGGCTTAAAAAACTGTTTGTACAAAAACATACAACACAGATGTACAAAACACAAGAAGTATGTGAAAGTATACCTGTGGACCTTTATTGATCGAAGTAGAAGACGGTTCAACAGAGTCTGAAAAACACAAGAAGAGGCATCTGGTGTGGACTCTCTACCTACCTGCTGCTGTTACTGATAAAGTCTGCTCCAAGGCAATACCATGTTCTTCTGTTAGATCATGTGAAATGATGATCGTGTCCTCAGAAGACCAGTACAATTTGAATAAAACTACAGCAACACTGTGACCGTCTGTCCGTCTATCTATAACCAGAGTCTACCGTGCTGTGCTTAGTTTCTTATATTTGTCTTTGTCTCTTTCCACACCAGTTTGTCTGGAGGCAGCTTGCTGATTTTTTCCAGTTGGTCAGTGTGGCTCCCTGGCAGACGCCTGTCTTGTAGACGGGCACTTACCTAAACAAAGAGGCTCCTTCAGACACTTTTCTTCTGAAACTGCCTGCTGTTTTTAAAAAACATCTTCTTCCATTTTCATTTTTTTTTTATGTATTTGGGCATTTGGCTTTTTTATTAGTCGTGCTGAGGTATGGGGCGACAGGAAAGACTGAGAATACCAAAGGTGTCAGGTTGACTCACAATGTGGACATTGCTTTTACAGGGTCAGTGCCGTAACCCTCTGACTCATCACAACACACCAACCCACTTTTTCCACATTAGATTCATCGTTTGTTATTAAACATATCACCATGACCCTGAGATTCCCAAAGTCCATCCAAGACTTTATTACCAAATTCCAACAATGGTATTGATCTCTAACCTTAGCAACAAAAAAAGAGAGAGCTGAATAATGATGACAAAACATTTAAGTGGACAATTAAGCAATTCGCCAATTGGATCCTTTAAGCGTTTTATGGGCTATGTGGTTAAAATGTTTTAGTCCGCCAAGTAACAAGCTATCCTTCGATTTAATAAAAAGCATTCATGACAAGGAATGGCAAAGTCATTTGAATATAAATCAATTAAGAGTTAGGTGACACCATTATATTCATCATAGATACCTTCATTGAGATAGAGGGGGGAAACGGATTGGAAAGTCCAGCTAATCAGCAAGACTGCAACTTTTTACCAAGCCTTCCTGAAGCAAGATTGACTTTCACGTTCAATTCTTGCCAAGTGCTTTATCTGAAAGCCGAGTTGGACACAAAGGCCAAAGAGTGTAGG